TCGGAAATCGACGGAGGTAATCTTAACTATCCAGTACAAATTATTACTGCTTGAAAATTTTTTTCTATTCAAAGTTCTTTTGAGGCCAAATAAAAGAGATTTGACTCTAATCCGTCCAGTTCAACACAGTAGTTAACAGTGAATAAGATAAATAAACAAATAAAAGGAAATCAAATAACGCATCGGATAAGGACTTCTTGAATACTTTGGCTATAGATCAAACTTCCCATCAAGTTTCTCACAGACAAAATGAAGAAACAAAAGAGAAAAAATCAGACTGCTTAATGCGCTGAGCTGTTTCACGAAAAAGAAAGTAGAGAGGAAAAATATTAAGAGGCACAATTCAGCATTCTAGTTTTTAGTGTAAACAAGATGTTGCAACCGCCTCCACTTTTTCTTTCTTCCACCACCAACTTTCACTTTTCCACATCTTTTTTCCGATATAAAACAAACTCAAAAGAATTTATTCAAAATGATACTCTGCAAAAAATATATCATTTTCTACTGAAAATAATTAAACTAGTAATTTTTTTTCTACTTCCTTTCTGAACAATTTGCGACCACAGCACATAATAAAAAAATAAATACTTCAGCAGTTTCGTTTGGTGAACGTGGCTGTAATACAGTAGTGTCAACAGTTTTCAGTGAAGATACCTGAAAGAAGAGAATAAAACTAATATTTTTATGCGAGTTCACAAAGATTAATCACCAGCAATTACTACTTTTTCCTTGAAAAAAATTAAATTTCCGTAAGACCATTTACCTTGTAGCTGTTATCTGCAGTAGCCTCTTTATTGTCTTGTAATTTGATTTTCGAGCGGGTTTGATTTGGAGACGACGCTGACGACGACTGTTCATACGGGGTCCGGTTCTGATGAGCTTTCTTACGAAATCTAGACTTACTGTTGCAGATATTGACAACTTTTGGCTGATGCGAGCATGTCGGAGTAGCAATTACTTCCATTCCTAAAAATAAAAAAAAAATGACATGTATCAAAAATGACCTGCATGCAAAATTGGAACCAAAAATTATTTAAGAAGCATTAAAAAACGTATTTATCAGTATAAGGACAAAAGGGCACGGTAAGATATATAAAATGAGAAAGATTCCAATATTTACTTCTATAAAAAGTCGGTCACGAAAAAACATAGTGGCAAAAATAAGGAACCTGGTGTCTGATGTGGTAAATCGTCTCGTTCTCCTTCGACACCAAATTCTGTAGTCTTTGTAAACAGCACTCGGCCTTCTAAATAATATATTTCATAACCCATTTTTGCTACTTGATTCAAATATTCTCATACCTAAACTTTATTATCTGTAAGCTTTTCCAAGAAAACCCCAACGTTCATTGTCTCTTCCTCCACTGACAACAGATGAAAACTATACCTTCAGAATCTTATCACCACTCATATATCCACATTACACTACCTACCCTTATACTACATAAAACTGTTCTTACTTACAGCTTTGTTACAATTAAAAATGAAAACAAGGCTAATGAAACAGAGGCCAATAAGAAGACCCTGTATAGCTAATTCCAACTCGGCATCCGCTTGTAAAATTTTTTTTGTAACCAGTTCCAACGGTCCTGGTCGACGCTGTAGCTTGCGATTCAAACTGTCTTTCAATTTGCACCTTTTGAGCACCTCTGCCTTCGTCTGAATTAACGGATCTGCCGTAGATGCTAAAAATGTATATGCATCTTCCTCGTTATCCAGTAAGAGAAGAAAAAAGCTAAAGAAGATGAGAAAGAAAAGTATTAAGCACTATTTCTTTACATAATTACCTGTCCTATCCTGAGTTGATTTGTCATAATACTCTCTCAGAAACAAAAAACTTTAATAATCTTGTACAACATCGGTAACAAAGAGAGAAAAACACAAACTGCTGAGCAATACTATTAAACGATTCATGTAATCATAACCGAAGATTTATTAAAATCCATATGCTTTTTAAATGACATATCTAACTGGCCAGAACTACGGTCAAAAGCCTCATTTTTATTTCTAATAATATCACTTTTGCTATATAAAGTTGCTCAGCTTTCCTTTTAACTAATTTAAAATTAACGCTAAGTCGACCTAACGTCCTAACCCGAGTTAAACGACTGGTTTATGCTCCTATTAGACAACCAGCCAGCCACGTTTGTAGCCAATCAAACTGTCAACTACTCAGTCCTCCAAAAAGACAAAAGAAAAATAATAAAAAAGTGAGAGAGACGCTCCATGAGGCAGATATATATATATATATATATATATATATATATATAT